ATTGCCAACCCTGGATGCTACGCCACCGCTGCTCAGCTTGGAATTGCTCCTCTTGTTCCGTTCCTTGGCGGCCAGCCCACCACCTTCGGTGTCTCTGGATACTCCGGCGCGGGTACCAAGCCTAGCCCCAAGAACGACGTGCAGTTCCTTACCAACAACCTCATCCCCTACAGTCTGACTGACCACATTCACGAGCGTGAGATCAGTTCACAGCTGGGAACCAGCATTGCGTTCATTCCTCACGTCGCGGTGTGGTTCCAGGGTATCTCCGTAAGTGCCCAATGATAGCTCATTGATCCTCACCATTGCTGACATTTAATATCAAGCACTCTATCAGCATTCCTCTGAAGCAGAAGATGACCTCCCGCGATATCCGCAACCTCTACCAGGATCGCTACGCTGGTGAGAAGCTCGTCAAGATCGTGGGCGAAGCCCCTCTTGTCAAAGACATTGCCGGCCGCCACGGTGTCGAGATCGGTGGATTTGCCGTCCACTCCAGCGGCGAGCGCGTCGTTGTCTGCGCTACCATTGACAACCTACTGAAGGGTGCCGCTACCCAGTGCTTGCGTAAGTCGTTGAACCCATCTACTTCATCAGCCATGATGCTAACAACCCTCATAGAAAACATGAACTTGGCTCTAGGCTACTCCGAGTACGAGGGTATCCCTCTTGACTAAGCTCTCACTCGAAGTCAGTGACGAGTAGTTATCAGAGTGTGTTTGTGTGTTGTTCTTGCATGTCTTTTGTCTCATACCCCCCGTGCATTTTATACATCGCTCTGGGTTGGAGATTTCTGGGTGCTTCCTATCTATTTGCAGATTTTCCATAGTTGATTATGTCTACGCTTATACTTGTGTCAAAAGAGTGCGGTTTCTGTTGGTCTCGGTCCATTTTTGCTCCCTAGAATTCTGCTGCCTCCTTTCGGGTTATCGTTTTTCGTCCCTTGTGCTTAACTGACATATGGGCTCTCAAAGAGCCTCGAGAAAAGTAAAATTTCTTTCTTCTAATGTTGTGGTTTTGCCCCCAGGAGTGTTCCTTATCCCAGGACTATATACGACTCGATTTGATTCATTGAACGATTGGAAACGGGGAAGCAGTTCAATCGATGTAATTAGAAAACAATATATGTTAATGGGAACCTTTGACCTGAACTCATCAATGCTGTAGTTGCAATCGTGGACTGTATGCTGGGATACATAACGCATCTGCTCACGCCTCAAGGGTCTTGTGCTCAGGCTGGGACTCGCACACTCTCTCTTGATCAACCTTCCACTTTCTCCCTCTTCCTTCAAGTTGTATCCTCATTTTCTGTAGTCTTTCACCCGCACTTATCGAGGGTACTTTCATCGTACCTTTCACTGTCTTTCGTCCAAAACCACTCCAGAACTGACTGCACATTACTCTGGCCCACGGCAAACTCGAGGCCAGCAACCTGCGGCTGTGATTCCTCTTCAACTTCCCCTCCCATCGAAAATTATCTCGCTCGAACCGTTACAATATCCATAACCCGCATCTGAAAATTCGAGCCGTGTGGAGACTCGAGGGCCTGGGTTTCACTCGAGCCCACTTGAGCCACAACCATGTTCTACAGTCATGAAAGTAAGTCGAAGGATCCCTGTGGACGATCTTTATCGAAATAAACACTCACCTGCTTGTCGCACTCTAGTCCTCACCTCGCCAGAGCATGGTGTCGCGACAATATGGCAAGAAAACCCACTACTTCCACAAATTCACAGCCAGGATTAACAATACCCTCATCACAGGCTAATCGCAACTCTGGGATCCCGGTCGATCGCTAGAAGACTGAACAGAAAAGCCATCCAGGACGTTGACGTCCCCAATGCATGCCGAGTAATCATCAATCCGGATGCACCTATGGCCCTTCGACTGCAGGGGAGCTTGCTGTAAGATATGCCGATAAGTGATGTCTCCAGGGGTATGCTGACAACGTGCGTGTGTTAGGTACGGTGTCTCTCGAGTGTACAATCAACAGTGTGGGTACACGCTTCTTGACACACAGGCGATGCACGACAAAATGGTCTCCAAGTTGAAGATCATCGCGGGCAGTGGGCTTGACCCCGCCGCCGGACAGACCAGGTGATTCCCACTGATTCAGTTTTCAAGACATTGGCGGAATACTAACTTCATTCCAGGCCCAGCAATCTGATCCTACCTTACGATCCGTCGTTCCTGCCCGAGACAGCTCTCCCGGGTCTTGAAATTGACTTGTCCTACTTCACTGTCTCCACGGACGACAGCTCGAGCCAACTGAGTGGTCTCTGGACCAAGTCGCCCAATAATAGCCTGTCTGGCACTTCGCAACTTTCAAGCCTGCACCTTGAGCTCCCGTCAGATGATATCTTGGGAGAAGGTACTATCCTAGGGATTGATGAGATCAATGGCTCTGCGCAGAAAAAAGATACCTTCGGTAACATGGCAGGGTTAGGGTTGGGAAATGAAGAGGGCGTTCTCCTTCAACCTGACTTTGAATTTGACGAAGATGGTAATATCATCGAGCTCTGTGCCAGCGAGCAGTCCCCTCGTGGAAGAAAGTCCACCGTTCGCCCAAGGGAAAGTGAAGAACCGATGGAGGACCAACAACGACAGCTCTGGGAAGACTCGGTGAGTACCAAAAATCCATGCACGATCCACAAATGTCCCCTGACTCTGTTCTATAGATGCAGATTGACGACAAGGAGGCTAGAGTGGCCGAGACTGACGACATGATGGAGCTCGACACGCAGACCGCAGGTCCAACAATTCTCCAGACAAATGAACGCCTGGATGGGGTTGAAGAAACAATTGAGATCCAAACAGCGAGGACCCGCCGCGTCAGGCGCCCGAAGGAAATCATCTCCGACGACAGCACGGCGCTTCGAAATATGACGCTGGCCCAATGGAACAATGAATACGTTGCGAACATGATCCAAGCACTAAAGCAAAAGCAGCAAAACAAGACTCCAACCATTTCGAAGAAGAACGCTGCTTTCTGGGTTTTCGGTCAGGGAATCGGCTCGGTTGGAGTCGGACTGGGAATGGACCATGAACTGCACCCGCTCAACCTCTACTCAGGCGAGGATCTGTTCGAAGCCGTTGGTGGATACCCTCAGCGAAAACGGGGAAAGCGCAGCGCAGATGACGATGGAATATCAGAGGGACGTCGAGTACGCGCGAGAGACGAACAAGCAGAGCACCTCAGCCGTGAGAATATCGACCGCCTCAACATGGAAGTTGAACTCGGCCGTGATGCCCCTTCGAGTCTATTTGACGACCACTCGTCCCAGATGCCATGGAACATCACCGCTTCTATTCAAAGCTCTCGGCAAAGACATCGATTCGGCAGTGTCAGCGAGCTATCTTCTCAAGGACGTAAGCCCCGAAGCCGTCTCACCAGCGCCAGTCCGCTTGCCGGGCGCAGCTATCTCGTGGGACAAGACCAACTTGATCTGGAGCTCCTGGGCGATTTCGGAGACGACCTAGACCTTACCCGGTATCTTGAAGGGGAGCTCGCGACAGACCGCGAGAATATCACCTCACTCTCCCCAAGTAAACGTTCTGCTGTCGAACGGGTTAAGTCAACTCTCGATCGGGAAAGCTTGAATTTCATAGAGTTCATGAAGACCAAGATGGGTACTGCTAACGAGGGAAACGCACAAAGCCCGAACAGCAACGCGTCTAGCCCGGTCGCAACCAGACTCGGCCCGACCACATTCGCGAGTCTTCTTCCTCCTGGGAGTACAACGCGAGCTGTCGCGACTCAGGCTTTGATGAATGTTCTCACGCTCGCTACAAAGGGTGTGTTACATGTCCACCAAGACGGGTACATCGACGAGAGTACCGAGTGGGCAGTCCGCTATCGCTATGGCGAGATTTTCCTACGACTGGAGTGAGCGTGAAACGTGCATACTAGGTCTTGCGACCATGAATGACGTTGAGGAACTCGTGTGCGAATGGTTCCTATTGCAATGAGAATGAAGAGAAACGGCTATGACGATTGATCTATGAACGAACCTATTGACGCGATCTGTGCTGGTGTATTACATCACCACGGAATGCGCAGATGGAATAACATTTTTACAGTGCGATGTGTGTAAGAGCGAAGGCAATAACTGGGTATGCGAGGATATTTAATTTCCCATCACATTTATACTCCCCAATCTTACCAGGAACCTGTATGTTGTAACTGAATATGTAGTTGACAGTATTGCGTATGGGATACGTCCACAGATTCAGTAACAGTAATAATACCCGATGTTTTGATCGCGAACCCTGGAAATGGAAGTATACGAAAGTACGAAAGTACGAAAGTATACGGGGACGTATACGGAGTATAAAGATCAATAATCCTCGGCTTTGCTTCTGATTGTATGAGATTCACATAGAATTTGTCTTCACCAAATCCAATCATAATAGGCTCTGATCCGAGTGTGCCTCGTTTGCCCTGAATTCTCCGACTCGGCAGTAGGCTTACATCTTACACTTCTGACTTGGAGGTTTAGAATAGTTCATAGCAGATTAGCTGCCGAATAAGGATTATTCAAGGAATTGCTTTTTATTAGGCATCTATTCATAAGCATATAGTATATCTAAGATATCCCGACCGGTCTCAGCCGATGTAAGCCGGCAAGTGATAGATGAAGTGAATGGAAAGAAACTAATAAGCGCAATAAGCACTCAATACATATTCTAATAGACTTGATAGAGTAGTTAATAGAAACTATAATAGACATAGAACTACAAATGTACCATAACGACATAGATGTATAGGTAATATACCTCCAGTACAAGTACCGGTCGCACGTACCGTAAGCAGTGCTCCAGATTACGCAGGGTGCGTAACCCGCGTATTCTCCCGTCTTCGTCTTTCCATTTTCTTTTCTTCTCTCTCCCTGACCCCTCCAACTTTACAACTCATACGCGCCTTTACCCATTCAAAGTTACCCTTTCGACCTTCTTTGTTTACTATCGTGGATACTCTTCCTCTCATTACTCCCCTAATCATGGGTCGTACCGTCGACCAGGAGGTACACGCGGCGTTTGTCGAGTTTCGCGCCAAGGAAGATGACAAGGTGCGTGACTGTGTATTTCGTAATATTTCACCCACGACCTGTCCGTCACTAACATACGGAAACCCGTTTTTTAGTGTCTCTCCGTTCAGTGTATATACTGCCAACAAATTCGAGCAAAGAACACTTCGCGACAGAAACAACATCTCCTTGAATGTCCCGGTCTGCGCGGTCACCCCAACGCGCCTCAGCCTTCCCAGGCCGCCCAGGCCGCCCCTAACGGAATCGGTCCCCCCAATGGCTACCCCGGCACTCCCAATGGCCCAACCGCAACCTCGACAGGACCAACTGGTCCTGGTACTATCCCAACTCCCAATGGCAACATCATGACCAATGGTGTCAACCCTCATGCTACTCCGTTGCAGACCCCGTTGGGGGCCCTCCAGAACCGCGCCGCAATGGCGACCCCGGTTGCGCCTACCGGTGCTCCGTCTGCACCGCCAAGCGCCGTGCCCTCGCGCCCGACTCCCAAGCCAAAGACCAAGACAGCAAGCTCGAGCTTGCCCGCGCCCCCACTAGACGATGTGCACGCAGCTTTCGTTGAGTTCCGCGCAAAGGAAGAAGACAAGGTATCGCGAAGGAACTGGGCAACCATAGACCTTGGAACATACAAGCTAATAGTGCGGAATAGTGCCTGTCCGTTCAATGCATTTACTGCCAGCAAGTTCGCGCGAAGAACACTAGTCGCCAGCGCCAGCATCTGCTCGAATGCCCTACCTATCTCAGCGTGATGAAGGACTCGATCCCCGCCAACAATCTGCTCCACACATTCCCTGAGGGCGATGTCGCCCGATCACTTCAGATCCCCGCGCCATCGCTGGAGCTGGATTTCCGCATGAGCATCAAAATGAACCCCAAGGTGTCTGTTGGCCCCAGCGTGTGGGGCCAACGAGAGTGGGTTTCGTTCATCGGCGGCCAATGGGCCGGTCGATGGGGTAAGGGTGTTGTTCTGGTAAGACTGAATCCCAATCTCCAATCATTACTTGTCCGGTGTCTAACCTTTTGAAAACAGCCCGGTGGTCAAGATACACAGATTGTGACCAAGGATTCCACTACCAACCTTCGTGCGAGTTATATCCTCCAGACTGTCGATGAGCCACCTGCATTCATCATTGTGCGCACAGAAGGATGGTTGACAGGCGCCAAGGATGTTCTCGAGAAGGTCATCGATGCCAACATGGCCGATGGTGTCAATCCCGGCAGCTATAAGTACCGGGTCAATTTGTCCATGGAGACGGGCGATGAGCGATACACATTCTTGAACACTTTGATGTGGATCGGCAGCGGTTGCCGCAGGGGTCAGGAAGGTAGGCTTATTCAATACTTTCTTTCGCGATTGTCCCATACTAACTAGTCATGCAGTCATCTTCGACTCGTTCCGTGTCAACTAGGTCAATGCCCTTGTCAACCAATGATGTCTTTTCCGTTATTCAGCGATTTCGTCTTTTTTTTCAACTTCAACTTTGTGATGGGAAAACGGTGTTTCTACTTTGCCATTTCTTACACACGGCGCAACGTTTCTATGATTCGATCCTTCTCACCACGACTTTCTTCTTCCGACTCTCTTTGTTTGATTTCGAACCATGGGTATATCCGCCACCCTGGTTTGCACATGTCCCGCAATTAAGCTGATATTGAGCTCTGCCTTGTCTTTGCTCTTCATTTCATGTGTCTTTGCGGTTCTTCTTCTGATGTAATTCTTTTATGGCTATCTATATCAAAATAGTCAGCCTTGTAAGGTATTGCTAGCTTTTTTTTATCTCGGCTTTTCATGTCCCATCTCCAACGTCCAGATTTCATATGCAATATTCCATGTAGTCATTTTCAATAGGATTGAATGTTGTTCCGGATGATTGATCTCTGTTTCATGATAATTTCATGATACCTTACAAAAAGTCAGGTAACTCTAGCCCTGGATATCGTATGCTTACATGAGAATGGTGATATCACTGTTTCTATGCATTCTCTTAAAGCAAAGATTCGACTTTAGGGCGATGAAGATACCTGAATTTGGAATGTATCTTGTTTTTGGAATAATATAGAACGAAATATATAACCCGCTTGTCATGTACCGCAAGACCGTACCTAAACCACGGTATATACCTGTACGTACCAGGAACATAACGAATACCTTTTCGTAGAACTTTGCTGTATATCGTATTATTATTTAGAATTGAACAATTAACTTGATATTGTAATTCATGGAAGTGTATATCAATACAAGGATAGGTATTATACACTATATCATTCTCTAGCATACTCATCTCCAGTGAACCCGAACTGGTTGAAAACCAAATCATCTGCCCACGTTATAGCAAACGGATTCCTGACCGGGTCAGACAGCGGACTTCCTAGCCGAGGTGAAAGCGATATCTGAATTGCATTGCGCTCATTGAAAAGCCCCCGAGAAAGACTCATGAATTTGAGGGAGAGTGGGAATCGCACAAGGGGTGACTAGTTAGCTGATTCCAGTCAGCGGTAGCTTTTATGGGCTGAAATCGCCGATGTCGGATGCCGCAAAGAGAGGTATGCCGTCGCTGGGTATATCCGAATCGCTCGGATGTGCATATAGAGAGGTAAATATATGCCTGTTGGTATTGGGCACTTTAGTTCAAAATGTTGACCCCGGTTTGCTTCACATAGATCCAAGCGCTAAAAGTTCCTAGCGTGCCGATTGAGGGTAGCTCTTTGTAGAGCGGGTCGGCCGGGATCGGATTGGAGGAGGTATAGAATTCTGGTCATGGCTGATTGATAGGCGAACTTGAAGGCCGATATTTCAATTTGGGAGTCGAGTTACTTCAATCTTATATAAAAAAGATGAGCTTATTAGTATTATTGAATATTGTTTTCGGGCTAACTCTCGAGACATGGTATTTCACGACAAAATGAAAAAAAGAGAAAGTAATATCATGGACGACCTCGATTTTCCATGCCAATGACCTATCCTACTACTAGACACACGCCTCCTCCAACCCTGAGCCCTTTCATCTACGGTTTCAAGCCTGGGTTCAGTGCCTGGAAACGCAGCACAAGACTCCGGTCTTCACTAGGAAATACAGTGCCCCGAAGAATCGGAAAATCGAGAGACTGGAGGTGGCCAACAGAATGATCTTGAAATACCATGCCGTGCGAGTTGTAGATGTCGACTATGTCAGTCAGCGGGTGTAAACAGTAGATGAAGGAACTCGAACTTCACTTACCGTTAGGCAAAGCCTGTCAATGCTGAGGTTGTTAATACACAGCGCCAGCAGACCATTACTGAATGTCCATAGCAACACTAGATTCGTTCGGAATGCTTTGTATGAATCGTCAAGGGCCACCCCTTCGGTCTCAGTTGGTTCTTGCCAGGGAGTCAAGGCCCGCTTCACGGTTGATGCGAATTGCTCATCAATGTCGACTTGGGGCTTGTCAAGTTCCTCAACAAAAGGCGTTTCATCATCCTTTTTGGTTTGCGCCGAGGGAAGTTTTTCGGGCGCATCTGATCCCTTTGTACCCCATGAAACATCATGCCAATTGCAAAATGCATAGACCATCAGAACATTGATCGAAGAAGGCATTCCAAGGAAATATGCCCAGGAGGAAGTGAGCATATGCCAGGGGTCGGCGTAGAGTATACTCGCAATGAAGTAGATGCCGTATGTTGATACCAAGGCAATCAGAACTAGCCCACCCGTTGAGTTAAAAAAGCCCGATATGAGTGCCGAAAACCCATGGCTGAAATCAAAATTGAGATTCTCGGGAGTCATTGCCTGTGCAACGAGATAGAACGACAAAATGAGGAGATAGAGCTGGACCACAGAGAAGTAGACGAAGGAGAGTGTGTACAGAAATTTTGATCTGTGATTGAATATTAGCGGAGCGAAAGGTAGTACCCCATCCCCAGGCCCTAATACTTACCCCTTTGGTCGATTTCCGAGAGCCAGAATGAATTGAAGCATAAGAAATGTCAGATAACCGATCTTCAACAGATTATTGACAATCGGAGTAGCATCATTCCCAAAAGGCCACCCTTTGAATTTGTTGGTCGCACTTGGTGTCCCAACAATATCCAAAATGACGGAACTAGTGAGCCAGTAGGATGCTATTCTATGTTAGTGATCTGGCGTAGGATTGATTTTAACCCCAAAGAGTACCGTCAACTTACCGAGTGAAAGCCATGTCATGATTAACTGGCAGATATTGTAAATCAATTGGATATGAAGCAGTAGCAACCGAATGATACCATGCCCACTCTTATATATCCGGTTGAAATGTATGACTGAATATAGCGATGCTGCAAAAGAGCCATTCAGCCATCGTCGCCGTTGACTTAGGAACTCCGCTGGTCGTTCTGGGACGTCTGTTTCCCCTTTCGATGCTTTCACGTATGTGAGTAGCCACTGGTTGCCAGCCTTGGCAACTAACTCGAAGCAAAGAATGCGATCCTCTGCAAGAAACATATTCTTCTTAAAGATATTCATTCCATCAATTCCTTTCTTACCGAGCTTTTGAGCTAGTGTATGATCCCCATGAAAATACTGCTCAAGAGGTCTGCCCATAATAGCGCGATACCGATAGGCAGAGAAAGCCCCCGGAAGTACGCTGACGTAGCCAAAACTGCTCTCTAAGGGCTTGTCCAGGATATTGGAGATTTTGTATTCAAAATTTTGAGCCGCAACCAAGGGATTGAGGAGCTTCTTCCATCGGTAGCCAAGAAGCGCGTGAATTTCACCGCAGGCCCCACCAATATTTTTATCGTTGTAGAAAGCCTGCCATAGGGCTAGCAAAGACTTAGGCCCGGGTTTTGTGCCCGCGTCAATCAGGATGCATATCTCCGGATTCAAAATGCGCCCGAATGCGTTGAATAACCACCGGTGTGAGTTGATCTTCTTCGCATTCTTTTTCTTAAGGCAAAACATCATTTGTACCGGGGGAAGATTCATAGGGTCGTCTTTGTATGGACGCACAAGCTCTTGCTTCGGCGTAACCGACAACTGTGTGGTATATTCAAACTAAGAACCATTAGCATCTAAACATTTCCCTTACTGAAATCCACAAGGGTTGGAAGGCGGGAAAACAAACAACATGAGCGATCGTTTCTCTTCCATCCACATCTTGCTTCATCACGCCATCTTGAAAAACGCCAATGGTCGCCAGGACGTCAAGTGTGTTTTTATCGCAGGGATCCATGCCATCGAAGACAAGACAGACGACAATCTTCTGCCATGCGGGACCACCTCGATCCCAAAATTCTGTCTTTTTCAATTTCACGATATCTCGGACATTTTGCATTACCCCATGCAGGGTTCGGGCGGTCAGGACTTTATCTTCGTTGTAGTATGTGACGGCAATGAGAAGTTCAGTATGCCGATTATACATCGAAGGGCGGAGATTGTAACCATTGCGTAGCGTAAATTCATCAGGATCACACGTCGCGGCAGTGTCTAAAGAAAATAAAACAAGTCAGCTTATCATGATATGGTCGAGTCAACTGGAACATTGGTGGGAATACTCACATCTCATTTGTGTGAATTCTTCAGAAAGTTCCCCCTCCGCATCTCGATACTCTGGCTGGATAGCATTGCGTATAGGACTCGGTACCGGATAGTTAATACTCAAGACCGAGCCTTGTGTCAACTTAATCCGCCGTGTTGGATATCGACGGATGCTACTTCCCTTGTGTCGTCCCGACTCCTTGGAAGAGGACACAGCGGAGCCCTGGTTAGAAAGGTTGTGTAATCTGATCTGATCAGGGAGGTCGAGTGATTCCATCGACCCTGGCCTGAGGCTTTTAACCTCAGAAGATGAAGAATTATACGGTCGACGAGTGCCTTCGCTCCAAGAGATTGGGTCTGTAGAGGGACTGAGAGACAGGGCAGAAGAATGGGCCGGATGAAGTAGGGAGAGGGCGTGCTCATTTGGGACTCTAGTGTTCTGGCAAGGATGGGAAATGTCAGTTCGGCTTGCCGCATGTCCGGAGATCAAGCAATTTCCACTTCATATACACTTACCCGGGGCGAATAACCATCACTTAGGCCGTCACTCTCATTAGGTTGCCGTACATAGTGCGATGAATAAGGCCGATCAAAATAATTCATCATGTACCAATATGAAGCCAATGTGGAACAGGTACTGGGGGAGTGTGTGAGCTGAAAGTCCGAGATGCAATCCCTGAAACTTTTTGATGCCAAGCCGGTTCGAATTGATTAAGGTATGACAGGCTGTAGAAATATGCCGAAGAATTTGCAGGGGATATCAATCAAGCTGAAAATAACTGAAGAGCCTTTCCCTTTCCTTCCCAACATGGAAGAATAACGAGCTAGGGCACTCTACCTTGGCCCAAGAGAAATTAAGTATAAGAGGCTATTTTAAGCCCGGGACCCCACATCTCTGCTCGATGGGTTGGCCAATC